GACACTGAGGGTATTATGCAAAGTGAAATAAGTCAGAAGGAGAAGGTCAAATACTGTATGATCTCACTCATTAAGTAGTAGATAATAACAACAACAAACAAACACATAGAGACAGAGATTGGATTGGTGGTTACCAGAGGGGAAGGGAGGAGGGAGGAAGGCAAAAGGGATAATTAGGCACATGTGTGTGGTGATGGATTGTAATTAGTATTCGGGTGGTGAACATGAGAACATGATGTAACCCATGCAGAAATAGAAGTATAATGATGTACACCTGAAATTTATACAATGTTATAAACCAATGTTACCGCAATAAACAAAACAAAACAAAGAAACCGAAATATAATGATGTACACCCGAAATTTATATAATGTTATAAACTAATGTTACCACAATAAACAAATAAAAATTAATATGTGTGTATAATACATGTTATGTATATCTGCATGCATGTATGCACCTTTGTTCATGATAAAACTAAAAAAGTAAACTGAATTATTCAGCAGAATAAAGGCTTTTATTTTTTCCTTATTAATACAATTTCCATTACTGACCTTTTTATAAACTTATGTACTCTGAATTCACATAATAATCTATGTGACCGGGGGCAATTTGTTTAACCTCTCTGAATCTCAGTTCTCATGCATAAAATAAGAATATTACCTACCCTCCTGGGGCTGTTGTCAGGATTAAGTGAGTCAATACACCACTGCCTTGCACATAAAAGGCTCTTACTAAGTGGTTGCTGCTGCTGCTCTGATGGTTTTTCTTCTTATAAAAATATCAACCTCATAGTGCCCCAAATCTCAAACACAATTTCCCCTTGTGAAGTACTAAACACATTCGAAAAACTATTAGCAATGAAGCCAACACTTAAGTTAAATGTCAGATTTCTAGGAAAAAAGAAATTTTCCTACTTAAGGTAGTCTCATCTCTGAACTTCTCAGTCAGGTCACCCTCCATAATGATAAATACTAAGTTTCCACATAAGATTTCACCTGCTTGAGAGGAGTCGGTTACTCTAGAGTAATTACTGGATTTGTAGTCAGGAGATCTGGGTTAAATCTCAGCTCCCCTGGTTTTCAGTGACGACAATAACTATGTTCTGAGCACTGAGTGGAAAGCCTGTGCCAAGCACTGTTCCTCCCAGGCTCTCATGTAAGGCTGCCAGCCCTGAGTCACACCCGCGTCCTCTCACCAAGCACCCACTCAGGGGCAGGCACTGTGGGTGGCGCCAGTTACCACAGCAAACAAGAACTAGGCAGGAAGGGTCTGATGGTGAGGGAGCAAAGGGGGAGGTGTCAGCATTTCTTTATTCAGAGATCAGCACAGTGAGGGCCCACACTGGTGAGAGGTAGAGCGGGAATTCTGAAGCTCACACTCTTTCCACTGTTCTTCAGGATGCCCCTGAAGATTCTGAAATACCACTATAGAACCACAACATTATTCAATTCTTATCCAGCCAGTCATGAGAGACTGGATGAGTTATGCCAAAGAAATGGTCGGTTTTCAAATAAACTATGTCCACATTAAAAAGCACATGCGTAGATTCCCAAAGACCATCAAGGGTACTGGCATTCATAGGCAGATTGTCAGGTCTCTAAAAAGCCTCAAATGTGAAACTGCTCCATCAAATATCACCTGCAAACTAAGTAAAATGTGGAAAAGAAGAAAAACAACACCTGATTATAGACACTCACTAGAAGGAAATTTCTCCTCCCCAAAACAAAGAATTTTCTTCCTAGCCAGCATGAACAAGGGTATGGAGAAGAGAAGGACAGCTTTACTCAGCTACCTGCTGTGAAGCATCACCTTTTCCATTTTAGTGGGTATAACATCACCCCAGTTAAATGGCATTATACTGCTTCCAGGGGAAAAATAGCACTGCTTCTTTGAAGAACAAATGATGTTTAAAAATGATTACAGGGAGTATGCAAAGAGAACAGATGGCACCTTCATAAGTAAAAGCTTTGTGAACACCATCAAAAAACCCAGACACTCTGTTACATAAAATGCAGGAAGGTATGTGATGAAGAAAAATCAATTCAGCTGCTCCTGAGAGAATTTACAAGCTAGAACAAGGTCTTCAGATTTGTAAGAACCAAGATCTAAAGTCAGGCAAATAAATGATTCCCAAGATGTGGTAACAGTGTTGGGGACAGAGTGGTTTACCCCGTGGAGAGAGCAAATGTGACTCTGGCTCTGCTGATAGACACTTTCTCTCCCGCCCTGGGGTATGGATTTCCCAGCTTATAATATCGTTTGCCACAATGGTTCAAAACTAGGGTGTTTTTAGAATACAGACATGAATACAATTCTTACTATTCTTGTAATTTAACTTAAAACTTCACATCCCGTCAATTACTCTAAATGTTCCTCTCACCTTAATATGTGATGCATTGATGTAACCAGTATTGTTTTCTTTCGTTGGGACCAACTCCACTCTGGCATCGTCATAGGGAAGGACATCTTGGAATCGATTTCTTTCTGCATTTTCAGGGAGTCGTGCTGTTGAGCACTCCCCATCAACTAGCCGTTTTTTAAGAATTCTTTCATATTCTGTGAATACCATTCCCTGTTCTAACCGCTGTTCCAGAATTTTACACTGTAAAATAGAATATGTGGAGTAATATGAATACAGTCACATGCCACAGCTGCATTTTGATTGTACATTTGAAATCTTATTTTCTGCTTCAAGTCTAGCATTATCTAATATGGAAAATTCTAGGTGAAACCAAAGTTAAATTTTTAACAAGCCATAACAAGAGTTAAAAGAACAAATGAAATAATCTTGTTAGTGAGAATATAATGCAAAGTTCTGTTAGAAGGTGAAAATTGGCCTAAAACATGTTGAATTCATTTTCTCTATATCTATGTTCAGTTTTTTGACTCCTAAGAACCAGAAAATTTTCCTGGAGAACAGTAAATCCTACAGTAGGATAATCAATTCCAACCTCTGTGAACAAATGCTTCAATTTTATAATAAATGATACATTAAAAACTAAAAACAGTAATAAATATTGGAAACTATGTCTCCAGAATCCAGTTGTAAGGAAATTAATTTTTGCTTAGGATAATTCATGCCTCTCTGATTTTAATATAAGAAAACCTCATAGCAAATACATCTTGGTCACAAAGAAAGTTTTGAAAAGTTCAGTAACTATTTACCCTTGAAATAAATTTTCAATATAATGAAAGCAGTCAATGTCTGCTTTCTTTCCTGTGTGTACTCATATGCACTTGTCGATTTCCTCTAACTTTAAGGCCATCAAAAATCAAGACTGCCACAGATAGCTGGAAGAAGGTAAAGAATAACACTGAGAAACAAAAAATCAACATTTAGCCTGAAATTATCTATTAAAACATTAGCTATAAATTTGCCCCACTTTTGAGGTCTAGATTACAAAATTCCTTAATATTCATTTCTGATTATTAAATGTGTTAGAAAATTCACTAAGATCTCATGAAGGCATTTTTGTAGTATTTTATCGATTGTCCCAGAGACAGCACACAGCCCACATGTCTCATACCTACCCTCTCATCATTAGTGGCTCTGGCGGGCACTTCCTTTCCTTCATCAGGCAGAGGCAAGCGAGACAGGGAGAGTCCATTCAGGGCAGCCAACTTGAGAGGACCAATTTTTTTTGCATCTACTCGGCTCTTTTTCATTCCCTATAAAGATATTTATATGTATGTATGAAATATACACAAATACAACCCCTTTGAAAAGAAATTCCAATGGACTCAAGGCTGGAAACAGAGGGAATGCTCTCCTTTGCCAACAACCACAGGAGAGATTACACTCTTTCACACACACACACACATATATATACAGTTTAACAAACATTAAGAGAAAGGCATTCCTTTCTAGGCCAAAGCACTGATAAGTTTTCCAGATATAACGTTTTGAAATGCAATTGGTTTCAGGGCTCTGTTGTAACAAAAGGTGAGGCTCCAGGCAGACAGCATTCCTTCACAGAACTCCCAAATTTCAAAATGTGACACAAAAATCAGCTGCAGTCCACAAAAAGGGTTTTAAATGCAGTCACCTGACTGTAATAAGTAGCTTTTATAATTTTTAAAAAATATAAACTAGTTCTTCAAATCATTCTGAAAAAACTACCACTTTCCTATTCTGCGAATACCATTCCCTGTTCTAAGCGCTGTTCCAGAATTTTACACTATAAAATAGAATATGTGGAGTTACATGAATATAGTCACATCCACAGCTGCATTTGGAATGTATATCTGAAATCTTTCTGTGGTCGTGCTCTCTGTTCTATTCTACATTCTGTGGCAGACTTGTGTGACCTGGGTTGGATCACTATACCACTCAGAACCACCTCATTTTTAAACCACGAAAATAATACAGGGCTGAAATCTCAATCATGACACCAGAAGGAGAGGGTAGAAGACAGAGTATCAGCAGAATGCTGCCTCTTGAAAACAGGTGTTTTCTAAAATTATTATTAAAGCTAACGATTTTCCTCTGTAAGTCAAACAAGTGTAAGAGCGCTAAGTCTCCTTAGATATTCTACATCTCCTTGGAAGCCATCATAATTATAACCACAGTAGCCCTAATTTGAAAGAAATGGTTTTCTCCATCCGTCTCATAAATGAAATCAGCTTTGCTACAGCTCTACCAGCCTGGGCGGGAGGGAGAGAGGAGGGAGGCAGGCACAGACTAAAAGGTTCCTGCCTGGGCTAAAATTTCACGATTCTAATGTGTGCAGAAAACAGAGGTATGCTGGTAAATGTTTAACAACTGGTGGGGAGGGCTCTGATCTGTAAAGTTTGCCGATTTCCACAGTGCAAATACTCCCAGCATGGCCATCTCAAACTGCCAATGCAACATCCACTGGCTCACAAGATGCCTGAAAATTTAAGTCAGCTCTCGCCTGCCAGTATGAGGAGGCTCCAGCACCTTGCCTGAAAGTGACTCAAAACGCCCAGCACGATATGCTGGATGAAGCCGACTGGCTGTAAGGTCAGTTCTGAAGCCTGATTTGAAGAAAGGTGTTTACAGTCAAAACTAGCCTCAAATACCCCTTACTTAGCCCTTAGAGTACAAGCATGTACAGTGATTTCTTATGTGAGAACCACCACGCAAGACTAAGGGCGCAACAACAACAAACTCCTTACGTAGCTGTGTGAGCACTCAAACCAGTCTACCTTTTTCAGATAACAATCAAGTCCCTGGAGGTGGAGATGGGTGGAGAATTCTAAAATGTTCCTGCTTGTCTGCAATTTATTTCACTGTTGTTAATATTAAACCTTTATAAGCTTAATTCACATTAGTATACTTGTTTGTTGTAACAATTAAACAAGATAATGGCAACCCCAGTTACCATGAATGGGTCAGAGGGTTTAGGAGGAGGCTGGGCCCTTCAACTCTTGGGAAGTCAGTAAGTTGCATGTATGATGCAACCTCACAGTAGTAAAATTTGATGGAGCACTTTCTCTGTGTCAGGACCTCACTTTACTCCCCCAACAACTCTCTGGGGTCATCTTCATTTACAAATGAGAAAACTGAGTCAGAGAGAGATTAAATAGCTTGCCCCAGGTCACAGAGCTTCCTCTTTATACCGTTACGCATAATGACATTTTAGTCAATGAGGGACCGGTGGTCCCATAAGATTAGTACCATATAGCCTAGCTAAGTAGTTGGCTACACCATCTAGGTTTGTTTAAGTACACTCTACGATGTTTGCACAACAAAATCACCTAACGACACGTTTCTCAATACGTATCCCCATCGTTAAGCGACACATGACTCTGTACGGTAATCAGTATCAAAACAATAAAAATCTTTCATTAAAATCAGTTATGCTGCATCATAGAATTCAGAAAGCATTTTTCATGCCTAACCTTATGTGGGACTTAAAACAATGCCACAGCAGGCAGAGGAGGGGTGACTGTCCCCGGTTTACAGATGAGAACCCGAGGTCCTGGTGCATGAAGGGCCCAGCCCACTGAGCAGAGAACTAATAAATGGCAGGGTCTAGACTCAGACCCAAGTTTTTCCACGCTCAGGTCCTATACCTTTCCCCTTGCTCACAGCTGCCATACATATTCTTTGAGTAAGGAGAATCCCTTATCCTAAAAGGGAGCAAAAGCATAATCCAATCACATCACTTTATTAATAGTGTAGGTCTTAAAGGTTAACGGGGGAGAAAATTTTATTTTTAGAGAACCAAATTGACTAAAGTCCTCAGATTTAGCAGAACTTGCTAGGCCCTATTCAAAAGGTATAGGGATAATAGGCTTGAATACCAGACTATACTCAAAACAAATATCATTTGGGGAAAACGCCACATGTAAAAATGACAGACAGGGGCCAGCCCGGTGGCGCAAGCGGTTGGGTGCGCGCGCTCCGCTGCGGCGGCCCGGGGTTCGCTGGTTCGGATCCCAGGCGCGCACCGACGCACTGCTTTGGCAGGCCATGCTGTGGCGGCATTCCATATAAAGTGGAGGAGGATGGGCACGGATGTTAGCCCAGGGCCGTCTTCCTCGGCAAAAAAAGAGGAGGACTGGCGGATGTTAGCACAGGGCTGATCTCCTCACAAAACAAAACAAAAAAAAAATGACAGACAGTTCTTGATGTACTGGGGAGTACTAACTATAAAGGGACCTGTCCAGCTGGCTCAGGGGCTCAGGTAGAATCACTTTGGAAGACACATCCACACCTTGCCCCCACCTTGAATCACTGATCGTGAGCCCGTACCCTCCACTTTAGCCGACCTGAGACACTGACCTTTACTGTTCAGGTAGGTGAGAAAGAATGTACTACCAAGAAAAATTAAAAATAAACTTAAGGGACTGGCCTGGTGGTATAGTGGTTAAGTTAGCGTGCTCCGCATTGGCGGCCCAGGGGTTCACAGGTTCAGATCCCAGGCATGGACCTACACACCGCTTGTCAAGCCATGCTGTAGCAGGTGTCCTACGTATAATAGGGGAAGATGGCCACAAATGTTAGCTCAGGGCCAATCTTCCTCAGCAAAAAGAGGAGGATTGGTAACAGATATTAGCTCAGGGCTAATCTTCCTCACCAAAAGAAAAAAAACAAAATAAACTTAAAATTCAAACTCAAAATGCATTAAAAGAAAACACATTTAAATTCATGGCACTACTGTAAGTAGTTTTAGTCTATGTATGCTGATCTATCTCATAAGCACTATAATATTGTGTGAATTTTTTTCCTGCTTATGAAGATGTTTATAGCATCTCAGAGGATCTAATATACCAGGCCAGAACCATGTCTGTGATGCGCCCTCAAGTCTGAGTATGCAGACTAGCAGGGACCGGGGAGAAGTCCTAGCCGCCAGGACACTGGGAGCAATTGGGAGACAGAATGGATAGGTTAATCAATCACCTTAGCTTGGCCAGAGTGCAGGGCACGGGGAGTGGAGGCACAGGCAGTGAGGACTCCAAAGCCTGAGTGATGCAACAAGATGATTTAGAGTAGACACGCTTACATGACAAAGCCACAAATGCGTGGCCAAAGTTTGGGGACTCAAATGGTTTCACTGGAAAGACAGAACAGCAAGGTTTAGACAAGCATTTATTACTTAATAAAATATTATGTAGAATATGCCTCGATGCAGAACAGTACAGAAGAGAGAACAGTTTGCAAAGATAAATATGAGTTTAAAAGTCCAGTTTAGTCTCAGACTAGTTGGGTGACCTTGGGAAAGTTACTCAGTATCTCGGAGTCTGTTTCCCCATCTGCAGGAACAATAGGCCTGTTATAAAGTGGACATGGTAAAGCAGAAGGCTTGCTGGGCACACGGTAAATGCTCTGGGAAAGGCAGCCAGAGATGAGGTTATGCTCTTTTATACATTGCTTCTAATAGGTGAGGAGTGATTACTTAATTCATGTTTATTTATTATAGTGAATATTAAAGAGCTGCATTTTCTACAAGGGACCTTCCTTGGGTTCTCAGTGCACTTCATCTTTCTTTAAAAGAGACCTGGAGCTCTCAGGTTTTTTGTCTTAACAAAGGGCCACCTTCCCAACTCCAGAACCACTCTCCAGCCCTCAGAGATCATGGCCAAGCATTTCAAGTTGTGCCCACCAGGACTCTGACCTTGAGAATTATATAAGGCATTAGGAACACTTCCATGGATGCTTCTCTCAGGCCTCACACGGGCAAACTGAACAAATGCAGCCCTGGGTTCCTGCATCACCACAGGGTGTTTGTAACAGGTGGCTAACAAAACAATCCTGGCTCAAGTCATGAAATCTTAACTCCCTTTAATGCATTGCTAAAACATTTCATTCATTCTTTCTGTTCCATTCCACAGAGCCTCCTCCATTTACCTTTTCATTTCCTCTAATTCATTATCTCTAAGCAAAAATCACTAAATTTCTAATCGATCCCAATTTTTTCCATAGATAATTAAACTCAAATGTGTTCCAAATAAGACAAAAATAGAGTAAAGTGGGAGGAGGGGCGGATAAAAAAGTTAAAAGAAAAGAGCTGAAAACGTCAGAAGTAATGAGTTAAAGAAAAGACAGAGGGTAGAAGTTGTTGAGAACACTTAGGTTTAAAGGGCACTCTTCTAGGTTGGCTGAGGCCCACCGGCACATGAACAGCTTACCCCTAGCGGCGGAAGTCCTTCCACAATGTTTTTCTTTCCAGAGAGGAGATCTGACACGGGCCTCTTCTTCAGAGAATCCCTCCGTGCTCGGTATCTCCCCGACGTGGTGAGGTCGGACTCGGACATGGAGGGCGTCAGCAGCCCATCTCTTCTGGGCCGCTGGGCCTCCACGAGCATGTGAACGGGGCTGCCGTCCCTCACCCTCTTCTCAGTCTCTGTGACGTGGGATTTAGGCTCGAGAATGTGCAGAGGGCTGGTGACTGCAGTGACCGAACCACAGGCGTAGCTCAGCTGCGGTTCTTGCGAGTAACTGCCCCGGGGCTCCCGTGCCAGCAGAGAGAGTGCTGCCTGTGTTTTGTTTTCCTCTTCAAAATCTTCCTCCTCTTCACTGCTGTGTATGAGCATGGTAGCGTCTGAAAGAGATTTTTTATGACCATATCTCAGGCTTTCCTGTTCGTCCGTCTCTTCTCGTTTTGTTCTTTCGATGAAAACATTTGGCTGGGAGCCTGCTGAGATAGCCCGCGGGGCCACATCCGCTGCCGACGCAGACATGGTCCTCTCCTTCAGCCTCATGCCTTCAAAGCTGTGAGTCAGCCCAGCTATCTCAATGCTGTTCCTCTTCTGTAAGTGAGCATGCCGGGCCGAGGTGAGCGGCTCGCTGACCTCCTGGAGAGAATGAGCCACCGGCAAGCTGTCCTCTTGGAACGTCTGGACTGAGTGATGGACTCGCCTGGTAATGAGATCTGGGTTGCTACTGCTTATGTAGAGGTGGCGGGACAGGTCTGGGGTGCTGTTGGCCGGCCTGGGGTATGGGTAAGGTGGGGGTGGGCGGTACACCTGTGTTTTCATGATGTTGGGAGCTGGGTACTCCTGGGCCTGCAGCTGCACGTTGGTCAGCTCAGGCACACTGACGGCACCCACCACAGGCCGCCTCTCTGCGGGGTAGGGGTAAGGAGACTGGCTGTGGAAACTGTAATTCAAATTGAAGGGATAGTGGGCTGACTGGGGAGAGGTAAAATGGGCATGCTCCCGAATTTCAGGTTGGCTGTAGACCAGAGCATCTGGCCTGCTATAGGCGTACGAGCTACCAATGTTGAGATTTCTCAGCGAGTGGCTCTGCCTTTCTGCGTGCACCATTCCTCTGTTGAGCTGCTTCATCACAGTCTCATAATCTGGGGTCGGGCGGTAGGAGGGGGGTATGAGGGCACTGTGCCGATGTGATGGGACATAGTCGGGTCTCATGACATCGCTCCCAGTAATACTTGGGTTAGAGGACATGGGTGAGGGCTGCATGTAGGGCTGAGGGTTATTTAAGGAGTTAGTGCTGTGTGCACTGTAGACACTGCCGTTACGGATCCGACCATTGAGGTCAATCTGGGCTCGATCCAAACTCGTCTGAGAGTGACAATAGTATCCGTTCTGGTTGGTAACAAAGAGATTATCTGGAAAAAAAAAAAATATATTTAAAATGAGATTTTTAAAATGTATTAAATTGGACCGATTACTCTAGACAAATATTGAGGTAGGCCCTGAATGTTGATGCCATTTTCTACGTCACTTTTGAAAATCCATGCTGAAATGACCTGGCTTTACCTACAACACTGAGTGGTCCTGGGCACATCATTTCCTGGAACCTCAGCTTCCTCATCTATAGAACGGGGATAGCTCTGCCTACTCTAAGAGTTGTATTCAGGATTTGGCACCCAATAAGATTAGCCAAATCTAAGTCCAACATTAAGAGTACAATTGTATCACAAAATATTGTCTTTTTCTGAAATTCAAAAATATGTGTTTTACTAGAAAGACGAAACAGACTTTCTGGAACTCTGGGGAGCTGTAGGCAGAGACACTGTTCAAGGTATTGGGCCACTGACTTGCGTTCTCCCCCTGGTGGGGATGTGGCCTTGCTGAGGCTGAGCTAGTTCAAGCACCAGCTGTCTGTAAACACCTCCTTAAATGGGATTCTAGATTGTCTGTATAGGTTCTTCCAGAATGAAGATAAAAGGGCAACAGCTCAGCAGGATCTGAGCTTCTCTGGATTCCAGTCACTGTTGGTGACTCCAACAGTGTCACCAGGAGCTGCACACCTCACTAGGGGGCCAGAAGCCAAGAAGAACCATGTTAAGATAATCACACCTGCCCCAGCCCCCAGGCTTCAGTAAGACTGGGATCCACAGCTAGCAGAATCAGGAGCCTAATCTAATCTACAGCGCTGTGTGTGTGCCTGTCCAGGGCTGGAAGGAGGCATGTTTCTTCCAGCCAATGTGTAGTTCACCTGAAGCACTGTCACTAATGAAGGTGATTTCTGACACTTCAAAGCAGCAGTCAAGTCCTCCAGAGAACAGTTGCCTTTGAAAAGCATTCATGACGGTTTAAGTGACAACTGATTATCAAAGTGAATACACCACAGTCTACTGTGTGAACTTTATTCTGGTGGCACACATAGCCATGAAGAACAGGACTCAAACGCATCACTGTATTCTTCCTGCTGATACACAATGCCTCCTTGTCCCTATACTTTTCCAGTATCTGGAATACTCTGCAACCTCCCAGTCTCTGCAGTGCCCCTTTTCTCACGGCCGTCACAGCTCAGGTCCTTTCTCAAGCCTGTCTGGACCAGCACGATACCTGCCTACCGGTCTCCCTGCCTCCAAGCCCCTCTCTGCACCCCACAAACCATCCATTTGTGAGCCCGTATGCATAAAAGACTACGCTAAGAACTGATGGGGAAAAAGATGACTAGAATCCAGGCAAATAAAAGGGGAAAGGTATATACAAAAATCACCATAATTCAAGGATGAAGTATTACAGTTTAAGGACATAAGTGTGACAGGAGTCCAGAGGAGGGGAGGATCACTTCCAGCTTGGGCTGGGTTGAGGGGGACAGGGAGAAAAAGATCAAGAAAAATCTCACAGAAGACGGCATTCGGAGGGGTAGGGTGGGTGGGGCAGGCATACCCAGCTTTCATCAGGAGCCGGGTCCCTCCACCTCTGGGTGCACGCAGGATTACACACCCTCACCTCTGGACATCAGGCAGAGCCATGTGACTAGTACCAGCGAAGGGAAAGTGAGCAGAGGGTTGAGAGCCAATTTCCATGCTCCCTTCCCCCTGCCACCCTGACCAGTGTTCCAGATGGAAGAGGCTCCCCCAGCCCGAGCCCTGAGGCAGGCTGACATGGAGCAGAGCCCTCCTGCCAGTGCACGATGTAACCTGAGCAAGAGGTAATCTTTACTGTGTCAGCCACGGAGAGTTTAGAATTGTTTATTCCATAGCACACCCTAGCGTATCCTGACTGGATGGAAGCATGTGGGCATTCCAAGTGAGAGAGCAGCCTGGACAAAGCCGGATAATCTTGGCTGGAGTATTGGGTAGCTAGAGAGTAAAAGAACAGTGGGAAATAAGACTGAAAAAGTAGCCTGAGGGAATGTCGTGCAGAGTATTGAACACTGGGCAAGGAATGATCATCAGGGAGATGCGATGAGCCTGGCAGCCGCATATCAGATGAACCCAGGAGAGTGGGGAGGGAAGATATCAGCTCCCTTGATGCAATAGGTAGTGACAGGGGAAAAAAGCAGTGACGACTAGACTGGATCAGGAGCACAGGGACAGAGAGAAGGGGATGTGGAAGGGATATTATATGAAGTTAGAGGCAAGTGGATTTGTAACTGACTGCGTGTGGAGGGCAGAAAAGGAAAAGCAAAATTACATGCAGTTTGGAATCCAAGTAACCAGGAGAGTGACTTCATCATAAAGATGAGGTAAGGAACATGGGAAAAGGGGCAGGCTTGTGGAGTAGAGCAAAGAGCTCAAATTTAATATTTTAATTTTCAGCAAGTTGTAATAGCTGATAATATTTATTTATTTAGTGCTTACCATAAGCCAGGTACTCTACTGAGGGCTTTACTTAGGGAGCTCTGAGTAGCTCACAACGACCTATCGGACAGATGGAAATGTGGGGCTAGAGCACAGGAGTAATGATGGAGCAGAAAATATAGATTTGACAGTCACCCTTGCTGAAATCTGAAATGTGGATGAGACTGCTGGGGAAGCCTGCATAGGGAGGGAAGGGGCCACGGACAGACCTTCCAGGCAGCGAACAACATTCATGGTACAGGAGGAAGAAGGAGAACCCAGCACACTGAAAAGAGATTTTTCAAGGAGAGAATGCCGGAATCTGATGGTATGGAGGGTGTGTGGGGCACTGGGGACATGAGAGAGGGCAGCTTGAACAGAACAGCAAAGGCAGAGTACCAAACGGTAACCAAGAAACAGAAGCAGCACACAGGTGTTACTCTCCGAAGAAATGGGGTGACAAAGGAAAGGAAAAGTAATTCAAACCATCGTTGGGAGAGAAAGGAGAGGAAAAACTATGAGGATGTTTATAGACCGAGGAAAAGGAATGAGTATCAAGGAATCACTAACAACGCGGAGAGAAGAGCCTTTTCCCAGAAGTGGGTGGGGCTGGGGCCACAAAACCAGATAAGGGCAGGGTGCAAGCAGGAGAGTATAGTGAAAAAGGTAAAAAACATTCTGAGGTGGACACTCTCGGCATCCACACCCCAAAGCCCTGCTCCCCTCCTGTCCACCTCACCGCGTGGAATTCTCACCTCTACACATAAGGCCCTGCACAAACAATGGTCAAACCCACCTTCTAGTCCCTTCAGGCATCATTTCCTACCAGACCACTCTACTCTCTAAACACCCTCTTCCTCATCCTGTGCCATGGTCTTCACTGTCCCCCAAAACCAGGAGCAGCAATCCCAATCAGGTAGCCTCCTCTCTCTTTCCCTGCTGAAATCCATCCTCTTTCATGGTCCAGAAAGCCCTTCTCAATCTTCCCAACATGACGAGTTTTCCTCCACTGAATGGCACAGTCATTGCTTGCTCTCTCTCATCAAAACAATCATGTTCTCTTTGTATTTAAGTTATCTATGTACTTGTCTTATCCTCCACTATTAGATTCTAAGCTCCGCAAGATGTGGAATTACTTCTCTGCATAAATCTCCTTGGCCTTTATAGTAGAGCCTTGTAGACAGAGTAGAGAGCAAATGTCTGTTAAATGAAGGCTTGAGATTCAGCTTTGGAGGCACTGTCTTAAATATAGCTCCCTATACTAATCAAAATCAACATAAAAATAAAATGTTTAAACCTTTACAATGGGAAGAGCTCAGGCAGGGAAAATCAAAACGAACCTGGGACATCTTGTGCCAGAAAGCAAGGAGGCACTCGCAGGCTACCTGGGGGGCGCTAACGGGACATAGGGGCCAGCTTGCAGGAATACCCATGGGCCAAATGTGGGATCATTTGAGCATCAAAATTTGATACTGCATTATTTTGTACACATGTCCAAGATATTGACTATCATGGCAGCTTCTTCTATGAATCCAAGATGGCTATAATCACGACAACAATTTTGGATGTAACTTCAGCCAAAAACTATCCTGGCTTCAAGATCTCCAAATCTTCATAATTTATTCAAATTGTAATAATTTTGTAAGGCATTTCAGAAACAGTGTACTCTACCTTGAGAAGAAGTGTATGGTTCTGTATAATGTCCGTTATAATGCAGCTGGGGTGGGGGAGGCATCACATAGGGCTGGGGTTTAGGCTAAGAAATGGAAAGGTGGAGACAGGGTTAAAACAAATTGTTTACGTAATATAAGTAAAGTAATTCTCTGCTGGTTTCTTTCTCTGCATTAAAAAACTTCTAAAAGAGACAAATACACTATATATGAAAAATAAACATGAAGACCCTATAGCTCTCACTATATCTATCATTTTCAATATTTCCCAGAATGACCAAGTCAAGCCCTATGCACTGATATCAGACATCAGAGAGCACAAGAAAACAAGCTGAATCCAAAAAGTTAAGAGCAAGAAGGAACAGATACAAATTTCCTGAATTCTTATATAAACATTTGATATGTAGTACATTTAATCTTATTAGACAAAATCATCTAGTATTTTAAATATCTACTAACTTCTGGTTATTCTTGGCTAATAGTCAAAATTTTTAATCTTGGGTTGGATCTAATATTTAAATATGTATGTTTGGGCCGGCCCCGTGGCTTAGCGGTTAAGTGCGCGCGCTCCGCTGCTGACGGCCCGGGTTCGGATCCCGGGCGTGCACCGACGTACCGCTTCTCCGGCCATGCTGAGGCCGCGTCCCACATACAGCAACTAGGAGGATGTGCAGCTATGACATACAACTATCTTCTGGGGCTTTGGGGGGAAAATAAATAAATAAAATCTTTAAAAAATAAATAAATAAATAAATAAATAAATATGTATGTTACATACATTATATAAATATTAGGTTTAACTATGGAAAATCGCCACTTCTTTCGTCAAAACGATCAAATATCAGCACACTTCTGTGGCTCAACTCAAAGTATATTTTATTAAGGAAGATGACATCACTAAAAGAAAAAAAAGGCAATCCTATTTTTCTTTCTTTCTTACCAGAGACATCCTTGAAGAAGACCTCCTCCTAATTGGATTCACTGTGACGGTCTGGGTTTGCCTATAAAATAAGACATGGCTTTGAGAAGAGCATATATATATGTCATATGCATGTACATAATCTTCCTAATTCTACCAAAATAAACTAATAAGAAGGTAACATGATAAATCTTCCAGAGCAAAAAAGACAGACTATTCCAATCATAAATTAGAGAAAAGAAAGGAGACTCGCTGTCCTGACTTGGGGTCTTGGCCCCTTCCTGCTGCCCAGACCCCTCAGACCACCCTGCAGGCTTTGAGCATTCCCATGGAGCATCAATCGTCTGGACTACCAGCAGGATCAGCAGGAGTACCTTTCCCTGGCCCACGCAGGTAAAACCTCTGGAGTGATCATAAGCAGAGGGGGAGAGGCAAGGCTCGATCACCCATGAACATCCCAGGAGAAGCAAGGCTCAGTGCAAATGCGTCTCTCCTGTGGGCCTGGGTTAGCACGGACCACCTCCATTAACAGTCCTGAGGGGGACCATCACTCGCCAGCCCAGAAGCATGAAGCAATGGGAACTGCCTTTAATTAAAAGTCGGTTAACCACAAACAACAAACATAATGAAGAAATAGTTATAACTTTGGTAACTTAAGAATCTATATTTCCTCTAAGAAACTTAAGAGAAAGCAAAAAAGTGGAAAATTTGGTTCAGCGGGCCTGCGGTAAACCTTTACTTTTCTTTGCAAGAAACTTCTCTCTGATTGGTTTTAAATGTATTTTTCAAAAAGCAATGAGAATATTACGGAGTGCTGAGTGACATTTATCAGATAACTTGAGATTTTAAATTATTCACAGCAAGTTCCATCTTTGAAAAAAAAATTAGGTCAAAAAGGAACAAGAAACAGAAAAGCCCATTTGTAATCCTATCATTTTTAAACAGAGGCAGGATTTTTTGTTCTTGTGTGCAGTCAGTTTTATTGCAAATAAGATCTAGGAACCTAAACACATAGGATTCTTGGCTTTGCTGATGACTTACGTAATTTTATCAAACCACTTTTTTAAAAAATCTTTTACCATCTGATCCTGGCTCATGAGCTTATGTGACATAATTAATCACGAAAATATCTTGTGACCCTTGGTTACAGTGTTCTAAGGACTCATTGCTAGAAAATCCATAATTACATAGTAAATATTCAATCCACTTAATCAGCGAATTTACCATAACATCAAGCCTCATGTCTCATACATTAACATTATTCTTAGTACTCTAACAATTAGTATCTTATATTCAAACCCTGAATATTAGCTTACTTTTACAAGACTTTTGAGATACAAGAAAACTAGTGCTTATTAGGAACCTAACATCAGGTGACTATAATTGCGTTTACTAGTTGACTTATTTTTAATTAAATGCTTCCTTTAAATAAATTCCTTTCATTATCATTAGAACGTATTAGGGGCGGCCCCGTGGCTTGGCGGTTAAGTTCTCGCGCTCCGCTACTGGCAGCCGGGTTCGGATCCCGGGCATGCACTGACGCACTGCTTCTCCGGCCATGCTGAGGCGGCGTCCCACATACAGCAACTAGAAGGATGTGCAACTATGACATACAACTATCTACTGGGGCTTTGAGGAAAAAAAAAAAAGGAGGATTGGCAATAGATGTTAGCTCAGAGCCGGTCTTCCTCAGCAAAAAAGAGGAGGATTAGCGTTAGCTCAGGGCTGATCTTCCTCACAAAAAAAAAAAAAGAAGAAGAAGAACGTATTAAGGTTGTTGATGATAAATGCATGCCACTTTTCCAAAGGATGCTCCATTCTGCCAGAAGGTATGTTACTCAATAATAACAAAATGGATGTTAATTCCATTAGATGGCAAAAATACAGATTGGTAAAGCACTATAGGGTCCTAATTGAGGCCTCCTTAGTGAAACAAGTTGGGAAGCTATATCTGGGCTTTTTTTTTTTTAATACATTCCTTAACTGCACGTTAATGTATTCCTTAAAATCAGTGTCAAGAACCTAAAGACACTGTATTTTATAGCCTTGAAATTTACTTTGCCTCTGCCTTTTCTCCACTGTCCAGGTTAGGTTTAGGCAAACTGGGTCCTGTGAAGTTTATGTTTAGTCCAGAAACTCACTAAATGGACTGAACTTTTAAAGTACTATAAATTCAGAACTGGAGAGAAAGGCTGATAGACTCCTCCAACAACATGTCCAGAGTTGCCCAGCCTGGAGCAAAAAAATAAAACTGAAGTGTATTAAACACAAAATCCAAGGATGCAGAGCTTAGGAACACAGGCAGCAACTCCCACACACGGTCTCTATCTTGGCACCCTTGCTGGAGCATCCAGTGTGGAGGCGACACTGCCCACCTCAGAGGCCGCTTCTACTAAAAACAAGCCAACAAGTACGTCCTCCTCCTGCCAAACTTTTTGACGTAGGCAGCCTCGCCATCAGTTCTAATATTCTAACCTCCTCTTTGTTCTTGCCAATGTTCTCGTAAATGCAGTTTAGTGTGAGATCAGCTGTCCTAATCTTGGTACACAAGAAAATGGTGTTGTTTTCTGGACTTTTTGAGCAGTTACTACGCTGATGGGTGCTGCTAAAAATGAGGCAGCTGAAGAACTCAGAAAAAATCACCGGAACATGTGCACTGGAGAAGACAAAATAAGAAAAGGCTGCTAGACCAAATAAAAGAAATTATAGTACTTACTGAAACAGTGTTAAAGACTGTACGTGATTACCTCACAGGATCCGAACACCAACCCCATGAGGGAGGCTGGTTATTATCCTGATTTTACAGATGAGGAAACTGATACTTAGATTAAGTAAATTGCTCCACGTCATATGGCAAATAAGGAGCAGAACTGGCATTTAAACCAGGCAAGTCTGTCAGATTCCTGAGCACAGGCCACAAACAACAATCGCTTATTTGTCTGACCCCCTCCCCAACCCCAACTGATCTGTAAGCTCCATGGAGGCAAGAAGACATACCATGGTATCTCTGGTGTCTGGCACACAAGGAAGCTCGCAAATGTTTGTGGAACAAATGAAGGTCACAGTGAGGGAGAGCTGATGGTGATGGTTATCATGAAGCATTTATAGCTGAGCTCACATTTCTAAGCGGTGTCTGAATTTCACTTTGTGAGCTTCCCTTCTTATACATTTATAGCTAGTGAAGAGGAGTGAGATTTTGATGAACAAAACATGTGTTAAATGGTGGAAATACCTAGAAAATGTTAGTCTCAATAACTCTCCTCTAATGCGATAGGGATAGGGGTTATTCTATCTTCTTCCAGGCCCCGTACAGTCTCTTCAAACCCAGCAGTAGACCGAGAAGAAGGGGTAGCCCCTACTCGCTTCCAGACAGGGCCCCCTCCAATCAGTGTCCTGATCACGCAAGTCTGCAGAACGAGGTGGACACCAGCTGCCATGCTCACTGACAGCCCTAAACTGCAGGGAACATACACCAACACTCTCACTGCTCGGCAAGCAGCCTACCGGTGACTGAAATCCAAGCTCCTCCCTAGAGAAAGTCTCTTGAAACCTCCATCACTTGGCTTTGCAGATTAGAGGATACCATCCTCCTCTTCCCCCTAATAAAGAGAAAAGCCTCCTCCACCAAGAACCCTCTCCAGATTCTTATTCTCTCCTAGTCTTTTTCTCATGTAAATTAGAGCAGATGATCACAGCATGATCAGTTCTGGGGCTTAGGGTTGGGGAGAGCAGGGTTGGAAGAAGCTTTTTGACCTAATAGACTGACATTATCTCATCTAGTTCCTAATCCAACCCTAAAGGAATGTTAAGTAAAGGTCCCATTATCCTCATTTTGTGAGTTAAAAAACAAAGAGATTGTTATCTAACATTTCTAAGGCTTGGGTAACATAAAAAGATGATTCTGTTACCTAAAGTACATTGTTTAAAAGTTGAGGGAGGGGGCAAGACTAACGGATCATGCCATTCTATAAATCCTAAAATATAGTCATCTGGGTCAAGTCAAGGTTAGATAAATCACATAAGGCCATCCCAAACACCACTATATTATAAATCAAGACTAAGGGGTGGGGAAAGGGACACTCTAGGAGTAAAGTTCTCCTTTCTATGCAAGTAGAATCCATCCCCTGAGCCACCAGTCGCTCCAGGCTGAACCAGATGCTCAGAATCCACCGTCCAGTTCTAGGCCTGCTGCAGTTTCGTTAAAAGCCCATTACACTTGAGTTTACCCATCCGGACCATGAGAACGAGTCTATATCAGAATCGTCATAATATTAAATGTGACTGAAGAGTCTAGGTTGAGAGCCTTAAAAGAAATGACCATGAAAATTAATGTTATTTTCAGTTTTATTACCCATCAAAATATTAAAAGCTAAGAATTCATTTACTTCACCTGGGTAACAAGTGCTCACAATGAAATATATTAGTTTTCCACAGAATGAAGTAGATAGCATCCATCATAAACAATTACATAGGAATAGTTCACGGAAATGGACTTCCACAATCTACTGGAAGCACAGAGATTAAAAACAAAAGGTGGAAAATAGCCCTTTAAGTATCATTATTTCATTTTTAAAAACTCATTTTCCTTATATATGCAACTGAAGACCATATTAATGTGGTTTTATTTATATTTGGCAATAAACAGCAATATTACAAAAAAGGTTTCTAAAATTGAATCATTTACCACAAACAATTTATTTCTTTTCCCTCTGAACTTTAAAATCATTACCAGGTAGTGATTTGCCGAAAAATCTTTTTTTTTTTTTTTGTGAGGAAGATCATCCCTGAGCTAACATCCGTGCTAATCCTCTTTTTTTTTTTTTCCTGCTGAGGAAGACCAGCTCTGAGCTAACATCTATTGCCAATCCTCCTCCTTTTTTTTTCCCCAAAGCCCCAGAAGATAGTTGTATGTCATAGCTGCACATCCCTCTAGTTGCTGTATGTGGGACGCGGCCTCAGCATGGCTGGAGAAGCGGTACGTCGGTGCGTGCCCGGGATCCGAACCCAGGCCGCCAGTAGCAGAGTGCGCGCACTTAACTGCTAAGCCACAGGGCCGGCCCATGCCAAAAAATCTTTTTAAAAAGACATTAAGCACCAACCACTATGGACGCCTACTAGAAAGGGATTATATTGTGTGGTTTATTCAAAATGATTGACTCTCCATTATTTCCCAGAAGAGGAATGAACCGAGGTAATGATGGCTCAATATTATGAATACCGTTAAACTTATAAAAGGCTTTAAACTTATGAAAAGGCTGTGGTCCAACAGATTGTACATCTCCTGCCTAAACGTCAGAACACTACTTCTGCATAAAAATAATGTCACACATGGCTGGGTCACCAGGCCAGCCCAGAGGAGCCCCAAATGCAACTATCCTTGACTAGCAGCACAACTGAATCTAGCCACCAGGGGGAACACTTTCACACTCACATGCACCCAGAACTCCAAGCTGTTTTCCAATTTACAATCAGTAAGAAAAGGAAATCAGACAAGGAGCAAAAAGGGCTCTTCTCACCTCTGACTTCCATCACTGTCTCACTCAGGCTTCCATCATTCACTGAGCCTTATATATGAAGCACCTTCCCATATACTGAGGCAGGAAGATAAATGAGAGCGGAGCCTGCCCTCCTGGAGCTCCATCAGACAAGACAGACAAATCCACATTAAAACAGCAGACACGAAACACTCTTAACAATCTAGCGCAGCGGCTAAGAGCATAGGCTCTGGTCTCGCTGCTCCCAATGGCTAGTTGCATGGCAGAGGCATGACACATCACTTCTCCAAGTCTCCAGCCCTTCATCTATAAAAGGACAATAATAATTGTACCAAACAGGGTTACTGTAAAGATTAAAGGAGATAGAAGCTCTCAGCATAATGCCTGACACAGAGAAAGCATTTACTGAATTAGAGTTCATGTTATGAAAGGGGTAGGAGAAAAACAGAACTTTGAGAGTGGTACTGAGCGCTAAAGCAAGCTAAACGCATGGTTGACCCCAGGGGGGCTGCATTTAAACTGGATCTTGAAGAATGACTAAGAGTCTGCCAGAGAAGAGGAGGAAGAAGATTCCAGCAAAGGCCTGGGCTGCAAGAGGCATTAGCATTGTAAGGACTGAAGGGTTCTGGGAGTGAGGATCAAAGGTCAGCAGGCCCGATGGGCCCAGAGGAGGATCACAGGAATCTGCACTTAATCTGCAGCTAAGGAAGCCTGGAGGAGAGGAACAGGCTCAGATTTAGTCCTGAGCTACAACTCTGAGAGCAGTACTACATCTTTTACTGATTCATCCAGAAGGCTGGCTGAGCCAGGTGAGATGTGGCAGGTGAGGCCAGATAGGAGACAGCTGCAATGGGCCAAGGAGAGAGGACAACTTAAAGAAAGGTTGTGGGGACAGAGTGGAACCTTTCAGGTCTCAATTTAGATGTCACTCTGCTGGGAAGCCCTTCCTAACTTGGTGGTTCTGGGTCAAGTACCCTTCTCCTAAGGGATCATATAGCACCACGGATATACCAAATCAGAGCTCTTAACACTTGTTTCTGCAGATTCATTCAACAAATTCACGGCGGGCCAGGCCCTTGCTCAGCACTGGGAATACAGGAGTTAACAAGACAGGAGAGTGTCTGTCCTTCACTGCTGTGAAGCTTACCTGCTGGGAGGGGATCCGACAATAAGTAAACAAATACACAAATTCAAGCAGTGCTAACTGCTAAGAAGAAGAATAAAACAGGGTAGGGGAATAAAGAGAGACAGCAGCAGACAGGGAACGGGACACACAGGGTAGTCAGGGACAGCCTCTCTCAAGAGGGGCACCTCTGATCAGACAACTGATGCAATGGGGGAGCGAAGCGTGTGAAGACATAAGAGAAGAGCATTTCAGGCCGAGGAAGGGGCAAGTACAGCATCCTCAAGGGTGGAACATGTTCACAGACCAGAAGGGTACTAGTGTGGCTAGAACAGGGTGAGCAAGGAAGAGGGTATAGGAAACAACGTTGGAACCAGGCAAGGAGCAGATCGTGTACAGCCTTGTACTCCTGTTTTAAGTATGATGGAATGCCAATGCACGGTTTTAAGAGTGACAGCATCTGACTCATGTTAAGCCAAGATCATTCTGGCTGACTTATAGAAAGTAAGCTACAAGCAGGGCAGGCACAGAAACAGGCAGAGAGTCAGAAGGCTACTGCAATGTTCCAGATAAGAAACTATGGCACTGGTGCTAAGTTTTTAGCAGAGGAGGTGGCAAAAATGGTCAGATTTCAGATATATTTTGAAGGCAGAGCTTGCTGATGAATTGGATGTGGCATAAAAGAGAAACAGGAATTAAGTAGGACTCCTAGGTTTGGGGCCCGGGCAGCCGGGTGAATATGGTGTGCTGCCATTTGTGGAAATGGGAAAGAACAGGGAAGCAGCAGGTTTGGGGGCAGGAAAAGGAGGAGCAAATCAAGAGTCTCGGTTTAGACATATCAGATTTGAGATGCCTGTTAGGTACCCAACTGGAGATGTCAAGTAGACAGTAGGATGCATGAGTCAAGAGCTCAGGGAGAAGAAGGGCAGGAAATAAAGACTAGTGCCCTTTCAGCATACAGGTGCTATTTTAAGCCTGAGACAAGGTGAACCCTCTAGAGAACAAGTGGAGATGAAAAGAGGTCCGAGGATTAAACCAGCAAAGGTGACTGAGAAAAAACAGCCTCAAAAGAGGAACAGCAGGGGTGCCAACCCGGTGGTATAGCAGTTAAGTTTGCGCACTCTGCTTTGGCGGCTCGGGGTTCGCAGGCTCAGATCCCAGGCACGGACCAACACACCGCTTATCAAGCCATGCTACGGCAGCGTCCCATATAACGTAGAGGAAGATGGGCACGGATGTTAGCCCAGGGCCAATCTTCCTCAGCAAAAAAGAGAAGGATTGGCAACAGATGTTAGCTCAGGGCTAATCTTCCTCAAAAAAAAAATAGAGGAACAACAGAAGAGGGTGGGGTCCTGACAGTCAAGGAAGAGCAGGGTGCAAGAAGCAAGGGGTGGTCAGAGGTTAAGTGCTGCTCAGCGGATGAAGTGACCTGAAATGACCACCAGATGAAGGTCACTGTCCCTGTGACAAGCAGTGTCAGTGGTGTGGCAGCTTAGGGGAAACAGGGTGGTAAGAAGGAGGAAAAGCAAATATATACAGCTCTTTTGAAGAAATCTGCTACAAAGGAGAGCAGAGATATGGCACTGTGGCTACAGGGCACATGGAATGCAAGAAAAGCGTTGTAAGATGTGAAATATTACAGCATGTTTGTATGCTGAGGGAATGATCTAGCAGGGAGGGGGAATTCCACATGGGCTAAGAAAAATGCACATTAGGAAAAAGGGGCATAAATTCTTCAAATGGCTTGAAAAGCTGAATAGTCTTTACTCAACATGCTGACAGAAAAAAATAAAGGACATTCTCTCTTTTTTTTTTTTTTGTGAGGAAGATCAGCCCTGAGCTAACATCTGATGCCAATCCTCTTCTTTTTTCTGAGGAAGACTGGCCCTGGGCTAACATCCGTGCCCATCTTCCTCCACTTTATATGGGACACCGCCACAGCATGGCTCCACAAGCAGTGCGTCGGTGCGCGCCCGGGATCCAAACTGGCAAACACCGGGCCGCCGCAGCTGAGCACATGCACTTAACCACTTGCACCACTGGGCCGGGCCCCAGGACATTCTCTTTTTAACTTTCATCTATTAGAATGACTCTAGTAACTAGTTCAAAGAAATCTTAGAGGCATATCTGTAGCTATTAGAAGTTGGTCCATGGGCCGGCTCCGTGGCTTAGCGGTTAAGTGCGCGCGCTCTGATGCTGGCGGCCCGGGTTCGGATCCCGGGTGCGCATCGAGGCACCACTTCTCCGTTCATCCTGAGGCCGAGTCCCACATACAGCAACTAGAAGGATGTGCAGCTATGACATACAACTGTCTGCTGGGGCTTTGGGGGGAAAAAAAAAAAAAAAATAAAATCTTAAAAAAAAAAAAAAAAAAAAAGTTGGTCCAAAGCTAAAATGAAAAAAATTTGAGAAATATCATTTTAATATGCAAAAGCAAAGAGTTTATTATAAAAGTATCATTTTTTCATAAAATTTGCCTTTTGAGATGATACAATACAGCTCAAGATGAAAATTTTTAAACTCATTTTCTACAATTTCCATGAGCAGGATATACTTACAGGCTACATTGATTTAATCTGTAAAATTTGTGTCGCGCAACACACAGTCTCCACACATATTTTGCTGTTTCCATGTCTTCCTAGCAAACAAAACATGCATAAAGTAAATGAAAGCACATTTACAACTTGATACAGAGTTTGAGGACAAGACATAATCAGGTGACATATTATGTCAAAGTCACTTTTAACACACTGATTCTTTCATTTTCTAATACTGTGCCCATCATACAAATGCTCTAATTAGGATTTAAATTATGAAGACAAAAAAAATCTAATAGTATGATTCTCAAACAGTTTCAAAATGACTTAGGAATTTAAAAATTATGAAAATATCAACTTTTATTTTGACAAATAGGTGCTCAAAGATATTTTTAAACAAAACATTAGACTCAGTGACTCAATATTGCCTTTGTCAAGAGAACAAAAGTAAATAACTGCGAAATAATATTTCTACAGAGCCATTCAGTTATTAAGGGAAATTAAGATATTAAGTGCTTACTTTCTCCTCTACTTAGTCCCTTGAATTTAAAGATCATCATGATCAGATAGTATTTATCCAAGGACTCATTAATTCATTCAATATTTACTGAGCAACTATTTTTTGCCAAGTGCTATTATGCAAAATGTTATAAAATTTTAAAATGTTTTATACAACTATGAAATATTATAATTTTAATGCCACCCCCTCAAACACAAAGAAATGCTGATTTGTTAACTTTTAGGGAAAACATTCCATGCAGATTCCTAATGTTTACTCACAGTTTGAAACTGGATGGTCTCTTCTTTATTTGCCAGCTCTAATGCAAAAAAGGACTTATTGTGGGACATGTTAGCAATATCATGCCACCTAAAGAACAGCAAATAGAAAATGGCAACGTGAGCGCTCATGTTTATACCAGGAGGTAAAATAATACATGATTCTTCCTTCTTGAGCTTGATGTATAAGTTAATATTTGTTAATCACTTTAGAAATAAAACATTTGTTTTAATCAGCTAGCACACACTTTCTAATTGAAGAGACAACAGCTGGTTGCCAAAAATAAATGCATGTACACTAAATGAGGGTAAAGAATATTTAAAAATGTAAAACCTATTTATCCTCATTTGCTAGATTAATTAGATCAAAGATCCTTATCTTAGCTGACTGCCAATGCCTCCTTAATTCATTCAAGAAACATTTTAACCCATTATAACAATGCCAGAAATTGTGTTAGGTCCTAAGGATTCTAAGACCAGTAAGGCACAGTGCATCCGGCAAAGGGGCAGAGCTGGAGGATGGGGGTGAGAGAGAGAACACAGAGGCAAATAAGTACTGTTAAGTTTTGCAGGTACACAAGGTAAAATAAGGCACAGGAGTGGGGTGGGGGGTGCTCTGAAAAGCTTCAGGGTGAAGACAAAGTTCAAATTCTAGGAACCCAAACAGTGAACTATTCTGTGTTTACCAGGATTCAAACTCCTACCTTGTACTTTCTAACTGTATGTTACCATGTTTAGATTTTACATATTAATATTCTATTTTATGACATAACTGTATCATTTTATGTAAGGAAAAAATGGGTCTGGAAGAAAAATTCTACCCCTCTTTATCCTTCTCCATTATATTAGATTTATTTATCTTAAATTTATTTAAATAAATAAAATTAATTTGTAGGGATTCAATATGTAATTGTTAAACCTAAAGATTACTGGCGCCACATTAAAGAAGGCAATTTTAAAAATTCCTATCCAGTGAGATGAAGGAAGCCTGTCGGATGCCTCCAGTTTTCACGGGGTCCTTTGGGCACTGACAGAGTCTTGCCCTTTTGGTGCAGTCCAGATCCATTTTCCGCCCTCTACCCCCCAGTTCAATATGTTGAGAAGACGTAACAAGCAGCTTGGGGACATGAGAGCAATTGCCAAAGGGGAGCCGCCTGACCCAGTGCAGTACAGTCAAGGAGTGGGGTTCTGCTCCCCAAGCCGGGCACGCTCTCCGTGGTCATAGTTACCACAGAGAATTCAGGGCCCAAAAGGCAGTAAAGCAAAGGAAATGAGAAGGAAGAAAGGTCAGCTTCAAGAAAAAAATCTTAAAATGAAAAACTAGTTCTCAAGAAGAAATGGTCGGGATGGTTTAGAAAGCTTGAACAGTGGCAAAAAAAATTTTTTTTAAGTTCCTTTTAATAAAAGAAGCCATTTAACACAGTGGTTAAGAGTCCAGCTTGAAGTGGAGAATCTGAGTTCCTGATTATGCCTGTTAATAATTGGGTGACTTTGGACAAATCACTTAACTTGTCTAAGCCTCAATCATTCCATGTGGAAAATGGTGGTAATGCCTTCTGCTCAGAGTTTTAGTGAAGATTACATGAGAAAACTCACAGAAAGCATTCAGCACAAGACCTGGCTCATGATAAGCACACAATAAACAGTAAACACAAAGGAACCAAAAACCAAAATGACATAATGTTTTACTATTTTATAAAAACAATATAAACTTTTAATTTTTCATCAAGAGACAACAGAATCAAAGTAGACAGAATCCCAGAGTAAAACTGGAACTATTTCGATGAAATGACACTTTGGATTTTCTAGATTATGGATTTTAAGGAATGAAATGGCAGGGATTGATCAACATGGTCCAATTTACTACCTTAAGATATAAATTAGAACACAGAATACTGAAAAGGAAACATAAATCACCTGCAACTTCACTGTTCAAAGTGGGCCACTGTTAGCACACTGCTATATATCCTTTGTCTTTCTTACTATACACATTCTAAGATTTCCACAAACGAATAGTATCCTTTTTTTATAAACAGGGAAAAAAAATCAACATTATAAAAAGTAATTGAAATTTGCTTAGATGTTGGTATTTTAGAAATTTTGGTACATAACTATAGTCAGAGAAAGGCCTAGATTTTCCACAAGAAATAACCCCGGGGAGCTCAAATGAAAAATTCACATCAAAACAAAGAATGGCCCCATATGGTAAGAAAAAGGTCACACATTTTTAAGCATTTCATAAGTAGGCCCATCATTATAAGCACAGTTTTCTGCACATTTGGTTTTGAAGAAAGTGGCTTATAAAAAGAACCACTGCAGTCAGCTGGTATTTTATTCTGGGAAGGGCATATTTCCATTTCCTAATGAGACCTTAGGAAAGACTTGTGAGCAATATAACTAGCATAGGTACTCAAAAATATCACCAACAGAGCAACAGAAAGTGCACAGAAAGATGTAAGAAAAATACCTAAATATCACAGGAGGCCTTCCATTCTTGTGTTTCACAAAGATACCTTCAAGACATGCGCCAATGGATATGTCACTGCCTTGGCTATCCTAAGAGGCGAAAGCAGAAAAAGAAACACTCAGGCGATAGGTGCATAAGAACTGCAACATCTACACCCAGTTCCCTAAACTTGTTTCCAGATATAAAACATTCAGAAGACCTATGCTGAAGGGAAAAAGTCTGAAAGGGATAAATGTGCCGTCTGGTACATTTACCAGACATTGCCGTCTGGTAAATATGTATGAAAATAGAAAGAGTTGGGCTCCTTAAGGAACTCTATTTCAAGAGCATCTCAAAGAACAAAACTGCAAAACAGGAATGTCCTTTACTACAAAATTTTGATCACAAGGACCTCAGCTTTGAAGCCTCCAGACTTTTGCACGTCTTCAGCCTTTGCACAGCAGGGCATCCTGGGCTTCCCCACTACTCTCCCAGATTTACTGAGATTAATTTTGGAGAGTCCCAGGCTCCGTGTCACGCTTACCTTTGCAGGGTAGCTCTCTTCTCCGTAGCCATCCATTCTCTCCACCTCCTGCATGTACAGCATTTCAGCATCAGGAGCTGTGAGCCCTCTGCAACCCAAAATATGTTAGTGTGATTGTTCACAAAACTAAAAATGAAAAAAAAAAAGCTTTTCTAAAAAACTACATATTAGGCATAAGACATTATAAACATTTCAAGTTTCTAAGCATCTGTAATTAGTTATATCATTCTATCAGTATTTACTGAAAAATCGACTACATGCAAAGCACTGTGCTGAACACTGAGGGTTAGTTATACGAGATCCCATCCCTTGTTCTTTAGGTGAAGTCTTCAGTGAAAAAGTCTTCAGTGAAAACTAGGATTCTTTCTAAACCACTGAGTAACTGCTTATTATCCAAAACATCAGGCACTACTAAGCATTGTGTACTAAATGCCAAATGCTAAGTGCAGGAAATAAGAGTTAGAGGATGGAAATCCTTTTCAGCTCAGTGACAGAATTACAAGGATGGGCAAGAAGGCAGTGTGGGTAAAGAAGGTACTCAACTGCATGGATACTTGCCTCCCTAGCCTCATCTTCTGCTGCTACCCAACACCGACAAGGCACCCCACACTGCAACCATCCCAAACTCTGCATTTCTCTGAATGTACAATGTTCCCTCATGACTCTGGGACTTTGCACATGCTAATCCCTCTTCCTGGTATACCTGTCACCCACCTGTGCATCTGGTCAATCTCCAATATCCTTCAAGACTCAGCCTATGCATCACTCCTTCTTTGTCACCTTCTGTGATTCCCAAGTCTAAGTCAGATGCCCCCGCTCTGTGCAGACCCATCACATTCTGTGCACACTTCTCCCACTGCACTCATATGACATTATTAGTATATAATTACTAATACAATGGGTTGTCTGGCCTATGCCTTAGTCTCCAAAGCAGGGAATACATTCTTTGACAGCAGATAATTATTCTCTTTATCTGTGTGCCACAGCAGCCAGCATTCTGTCTCATACAAAATAACAGTACAAAACTATCTTTTGGGCTGGCCCCGTGGCTTAGCGGTTAAGTGCACGCGCTCCGCTGCTGGCGGCCCAGGTTCGGATCCCGGGC